GGACTGAATTTACATGGTCTCTTGGAGTTCCTTGGGCTAAGCCTGACATAATCAGACAGCTTTGCTGAATAATCCATCAAATTTTCAAATATCCTCCATTATGCACATGTGATAACAGTCAAAGTCTACTTATGTTTTTGGGCTACTAGATTGGATTTGCTGCCACACTCAAACACAAATTATTGTTGAACACGACACCAAAGTCCAATGATCCTGAGACTCATATTTCACCTTAATTAGAAACAAACTGTAGTTTACGTTCATATCAGAACTTAAGGAGATGGTTTAACCAAGCCATTCATATGGCTTTGGGATATCAAACTTGAAGATATGATTTTGATTTGGATTCTTTAAATTATTCTCTGATAAAGTACAGTACCTGTGTATAAAATAAATCTTGTTCTATTTTGAATTAGTCTCTAAATCTTACTTTTGTTTTCATGATTACTTTCTGAGTAGATTATGCAAGAAGTCCATAGTCCACATACTTGTTAAGTAGTTAATTGTGTTTCTGTTTCATAGCTGTTTCATTAAAATGAATGGTTCAGAATAGTCATTTGAAAAATAGCAAATGTAACTTCTATTGCTGATTTAATATATTTGATTAGTTCAAGTCAAAATGAAATTCAGGAGCACTCCCAAATAACTCATATTTTTAGTCTTCTTTTACAGAACACACTAAGTAAAAATAATGTAAAGAAAGTTTAGAATTCCTAGGTTACTTTCAGCTACATAGAATGTAGATGTATGAAAGAAGTAGACAACATGTTATGGAAGTCAATGCTTTCCCAGAGGACATGGAATCCTCTCTTACAAGTTTATATGCTAGACAATGATTTAAGTATAAGGGGAAATGTTAGTATCAAGCACTTAATATGTAACAGATATTCCTTTTCAATTTAATAATATTTTCTAAAGAATCTTTGATTCCTTTCCTAGAAAGAATACATCATGATGATAATGCTATTAAATTAGGTATGTCAATTTTAAAACCAAAGGTTATGTGAGGGATGAATTTTCTTTAGCAGAGAATAAAGTATTTTGAAACTGGTAATCAGGTCTGTAAAAGAAAAGAAAAAAAAATCACCTGCTTTTATGAGAATATGTAACATGCCAAGGCTCTTAATAAGGTAAAGACTGATTTCTTTTTGAAATTAATTTAAACTGGGTATTTCATTAGGATGTGTAAAATGTTCAAAAGCTTCAAGTGTTCCCAACTCAGAACATAACTTCCAGCACTCCTAAATTTTTTCTCAAGTTCAAGACAATATGAGGCATATCATTCCATGTGGTTTTGTGTGCACTGATATCACACCAATGACTTTAAAAACAAAAACTATGCTGACTTGGAGAATAATCCTAATACCACTAACTTTAAGGAGTAGGGAAATGGGTTCTCAGTTAAGCACATGTTTACTAAGAACACTTTGGATAAGAAAATATTGTTATCTGCCTGTTTTAAAAATGAAATTGTTTACTATTGGAAGGTTAGAGCTCATGGATTGTCTGTTGGGGTTTATTTTTCAGATAGCTTGCCAAATGCAAAAATATGCATTATAGGTAGCACTGCTATATTGCTGACCTTTTAGGCTGCCATATGCAAAACAAGCACACTGTGCAAGGATGTGCATAAGGTAACAGCCAGAGAATTATTATTTTTTGCTATTAACTTTTGCTGATGATGTGAAGTTAACATGCTTTGAGTTTGAAATGGTTTACTGAAAGCATTCCAACTATTCCAGAAGTGTTCCAAATTTCAAATGGCCCCAGGATACTTTTGGTTATGTCAGAATAGTGTTTCAAACTTTGATCTGGACATTTTAAACTTGAAAATGAATTACAAATTCATCGAACAGTACAAGTTAAATGCATGTAGTAAAAGAAGACAATATGATTTTTGATATTGAATGGTATAAGTCACATATTCAATTTATTTATAGAAGAGTTTACAGGATACGCTTCCTTATCATTTCAGGCTTATTCAAAGCTCATGTTCCTATTTCAAATCCTCCACCACATGAAATCTGCAAAGTTTTATTTACGACTTTACCAAGCAAACAGTATGAACATTTGTTTTCCACCCCATGGAGAAATACATTTTCTCTATGTACCAGTCATTGCTTGGAGAAAAGTATGCTTACATCCAATCCTAAGCAAGTTCAAACACCCTTGTATGCTTTGTTTAAAGGGTAATTAAAGTCTCCTATAAGTCAGACTTCACTTCTGAACTTAATGGACATATCCATGTTGTTCATATGGCAACAATAGGAAAATGATATATCATACCCTTTTTCTGAACATACATACAATTGTTGTTTAAGCTTCTAACTAACCTTCCATGTGTACTGAAGGTTAGTTTTTCACTTGTATCTAATCTACAATAATTTTACAATATCTATAAGCTGTTGGATATAGTAGATT